TACCCAGAGAGCAGCATCAGCCAAAGAGACTGACATATGATACACTGGGACAACCTATTAAAGCAGTTAAAGCAGCTGGCATGGACAGTGTCAAAGTGGGCACACTGTCACCTTCGTTTGGACAACTCTGGAGACCTTGGATGCCTGCTACCATACAAACAATATCCTAGAAGAAAGGGGAAAAAAAGAAAAAGAGAAAAAAATGAAAATGCTAGTATGGTTCATGGAAAGCAGTGTTAATGTATTCAGCTTAAATAATCTAATCACTGCTTTGGATATATATCCCAGGTACGGGTCAGCCTATGTTCAAGTATAGCCATTAAAAATGCATGTAGCCTAAAACAAATGAGAGGAAAAATACATAGAGTATGTTTATTTTTGTAAGTAGGGGAGGGTGTGGCCCCCATGATATTTGTGGTGCAAGAATGTGGTGCCCAGGACCCCTTGTTTTGTTCATAGTACCCCTCTCCTTTGGGATTTTATTATTTTTGGTTATTTGTTCTAAAACTTACCTGCTGGTGATTCAGACTCGGGGCGATATTTATTTGGTCCAATAGAGGGCAGCCGCAGCTATTGAAAACACTAAGGGCACTCCGAAAACTGGAAGTAGGTCCGATGCGAGAGTGTGGCCAGTAAATGGTGCATTGTTAAGCGGCTGTGTTGTTTATATGTGTTACAGATGGGACAATAAAAGAAGAATAAAACAAGTGACTAAAGGGCTCCATCAGTTCCGTGTGAAGAGTGTAACACATGTTTTGCGTGTGTTCTAGTTTGTCAGTGTGTGGACATCACGTCGAGTCAGATCGCTGGCACTGACAAAGTAGGAAATAGGAAAAGGTACGAGGTTCTGTTTTGAAGCTTAAGGACCCAGACTTGTAGGTTTCAGAAGTATTGTTCTCCCAGTTATTCTTTCATTCATATATCAGTAATTAAGCTTATAAACTTGATATCTTTGACACAAATCTCCAGTATTTCGATCAAGTAGCCTCTGATGTCAAATAAAATAAAATCTTTCTAGCCGTTATTTTAATGTGTCAGATGCACATCAACATTACTTCGTTGAATCAGACTTGGTGTTTTGCAGATGTTTCAGTGAATGTGCTTGGACCGGTCCCGGTGTGAATATACAGGGCTCAGACCTGAGCTCTAAAGCAGCTCTCTGTACAGTTTGCTGCCAGTAGCAGTGGTCCATCAGTTTGGATCCCAGTCCACTGACACCTGAGTTTTATGGAACAGACGAACAAGCAGCTGTGTGAGAAACATTTGTCTTTGTTTCAGACGTGCTCAGTGAGCTGATGATGTCTGAAGAGAAGAATCTGTTTCCTGATGTTTATCAGGTGAAGAAGAGGTCATGGCAGCAACGCAGGTGAAAATGGCACAGAGTTTGTGGCGTTTGTCAGAAAACCTTTTGATCAGTGGTGAGTAGCAAACAGGATGATGAACAGGATCAGGTGTTGTGATGACTGAATGAAGTCAGACTGGAGAGTTTCCTTCTTCCACCTGGAACTGTGACCTCCTGTGTTTCTGACTCGTCACCTGTGTCTCCTCTCACAGGAACAAATGATCTGCTGCATCCTGATGCTCAGCAGCCTGGTCTCCTCTGTCTGGGGTCAGTTTATTGTCCACTAACTGAGAAGAAATGATCCAGGTTGTCAGTCAGTGTGGTCCTCACTTTCCCTGTTTGTCTCCTCAGCAGGAGCATTTCTAGTGCATGTGGCACAGAGCTCCTATCGGGCAGAGGAGAACGGCAACGTCACACTGGAGTGGACGTGGACAAACACAACTCACAGCTCCTCTGACTCTCTCTCTATCTACTGTAGCCTGTTAACTGTTCACAAAGAGTCAGTCCTGTTCCGTCTCCATGAGGGCGTCAAGGTCCCAAAGTCTCAGGATGAACAGTTTTCAGGACGAGTCCAGTGGGACACAAATGTCCTCTGAGAAGGACGACTCAAACTCCATGTGTCCAAACTCAGGACTGAGGATGCAGGATCATACGTGTGTAAAGTCAGCATGGATAACGACGGTGTAGGCTCTGGTGTATGTCGTCTCAGTGTCACAGGTAAGTAGACTCAGTAGTTTGCATGGGGGGAGTCCGTTTTGTCCAGACTGTGCTGCTGAACTCGACCTGATGGACTGAAGCTGCTGAGCATTGTGGGATTGTTACCATGATGTTTCCAACAACAATCACACACGTGCTGCACATGGCAACACACATCAAGAGGTTCAAGCCCAGACTGTCCAGGTGTTACATCTGGACATGAACAGGTATCAACAGGTGTTTTTGTTTGTCTTTTACAGCAGCTGGTGATGAACCCAAACCTCGAAGACCAATTGTGAGTCAACGACTAGAGAGGGGGATGGACTGGCCTCCACACTGGACTGACAGCAGCAGTAGGAGTTATAGTTCTACTGATTGTCTATGCTCTGTTCTGCTATGCTTTTCATGTGTCCCTTCTAAACCCCTGTCCTAAGCTCCTATATCGGAGAGTCTTCTTCAGTGAATCTCTACCAGCTGTGCACAGAGACTTGGTCATTTCAACCTTGTCAGCAACTACACTGACTGACAGCAGCAGCAGTAGAAATGCTGCTGATTGTGTCTGTCCTGTTTCACCAAACCTACTGACTGTATGACTTTGAGACTGTCAGAGAAACAGCTCATCAAGACTAACAGGACGACATTGTGTCAGAGCACTGCTCCAACACTTGAGTCTTCAAATTAAGAAACAGGTTTGAGTCCGTCCAGCTTCTGTTTCGAGTGTCAGAGACTTGTGATATGAAATATGTGTTTATACTGTTTATACTACACAGCCTTATGTTAGTATATTGTTTACTTGCCCCTTGCATGGGGACATGTGCATGCACATTGAGAGTCAAAATTCCTCGTGTCCAACACACCTGGCCAATAAAGCTGATTCTGATTTGGATACATGTTTTTCTGTTAAATGATGTTCATATCACATCAACCTGGAGCTGAACATGCTCCAAACAGTGGAGATGACAGAGGACTTCAGGAGGAGCTCCACTGTCTCCCAGAACCTGAAGTAGACATCCAACATCAGCACCATCACCAAGAAGCCACAGCAGAGGATGAATGTCCTGCTCCAGGACAGGAAGTTCAACCTGCCCCAGGAGCTGCTGGTTCAGCTCTACAGAGGAATCAGAGTCTGGGTTCAGCCACTCCTTTAAGCCTTTCACTTTGTCTCTGGACTTTGTCTTCACCTCACTCAGCATTCTGTGCCTTTGGCCTCATCTTAGCCAGGCGCCCACTTCTGAGTCCGAGCGCCATTTCTACTGTACATGTGGACAGAAAATAACAAATTAAATGATAAACTCTTTTGTTATCATAGTACATTTGAATACACAGGAGTCTGTTATGCACATTATTTAAACAGTGAATTAATAAAGTTAGTAATGTGCACACAGCAGACAGAAGTAAAATGGTCTGACAGCTTCAGTTCAGCTCAGATGAGTTTTCACACTGCTTCCTAATGTGTGAACACTGTGGGTTCACCAGGCTCAGCGTCATTTCCGCCGCTCACATCATGACCACAGTCACTGCTTGTTGCAGCCTGATGTGGAGCTGATCTATAGATCAATATTCTGCATTAAATTATGTAATATTATATTTTTGAGTTTAAATTCTTAGAAAGTATAAATGTCTGTTAGTGTAAAGATGCTATCATTGAACTACAGACCACATTTTATGTCAAACAGGAGCATAAATTATGACAATGGGAAAAATACTGATTTTCCCTATGTACTGTTTATAATTTGTACATATTATAAATAAATTGATATATGACCTTATTGATATATGAGAAGTTGTTGTGACATTTTCATTGAGTACAACTGATAATTTACCACCAGCTTGTGTTGAACATAAATGGACTGAGGACAAGGGTCTGACAAGGGTCTTGCTTTCAAATTATTACTTCATTACAAAGTAAAAGTAGTAGTAAAAATGTGTGCTACGCTCACTGCGATGTCTTTGAACATGCTTTACAGATAAACTGACACTGACATATATCTTTTTTTAATTTGTCAGAAGTTCATGTAACAGTTTGTAAACAAATCATAGTTAATCATTAACAAATAAATTGGCTAGGTTATGGGCTACCTCTCTTTTGCCTTGTGTATTTACACCCATTTCTCCAGGTCAATAATAAATTGAACAGAATAGATTTGTCTTAATATTCAGTTGTCATTTATAATTCATGTGTTGCATGTAATGTACAATAAGATGCATATAGCAGTAACCACCAGAAGGTACTGCTGCACTACCTGAGCATCAGGCAGCGACGTCACTATAATGTAGAAATTCGAATATAGGTCTTATACTATAAAGGTACAGTTGTGGTTACATGTTTACAGCTCTGCTTTAACTTCCTGGATGTGAGACACAGCTGAGGAATTGCTGTAGAGCTCGTTTCTTAAGCTACAGCTGTTGCCTTGTGACAGCTGCTCTCTGCACGAAAAAGAAGGGAAAATAGGTAAAGGACCCTATTCACACACACACAAAATGAAAAACAAATCTGAAATAAATAAAATGGTATGCACCATAGACAGAGATGATAGGCTATGCGTGCAATGGACGGTAGTGATGGATAAGAAATTATTATGATGATAAAAAGTAATTTACGAGTGCAAATAATAGTAATGGTGAGTAGTTACGATACAAGATTTAATAGCAGTGTGTTGAAAAGTGATATTAATATTTAAATAGAAAGTCACTTTCGGCTTTTCCCGTTTAGGGGTTGCCACAGCGAATCGTCACACTGACGACTCGCATGTTGACATTTGGCACTTTATAAATTGTACGCAACAACAACGGAAGGAGAAAACTACTACAGTCCACTGTAGTATAAAAACAGAACATTTTCACAATTGATTAGCTTGATAAAAATATGTATAAAGTAACATAAAAGGGAAATACTCTAGTAAAATTGTATTTATCTACAATATTTGAATGATATTCCGCCATTTAAAGTCAACAAGAATATTTTATTTTGAAAGACAGGAAGTGGTTGTAGGCAGGGACTCGACGGTCATATTTCGCACTGCACTGCATTGCCCACCTAGCTCATTTAAACCAGATTCAGCAGCTGTTGATGGGGTCAGGTGTGTTTCTCCAATTTAATTATGTTCAGTTAATTATATTTTTTTGCAAGACATGGTACGGTTACTGAAAGCAGCGATGTTTGTTTTTGTTTCTTCAATAGTTTGGAGTTGTTTCAGCGACGTTACTTAGTAACGCTAGCTAGTTGTGTTAGACATGCAAGGCAAGTAAAGAAAATGTAGTAGAATTTATTTCCTTCGAAATATTATTGCCATACTTGGTATTTATACAGGGATTATGAGATGTTAAAGAGACGTGGGTGATGTGTTTTTATTGCATAACTGGCAGTCTTGAACAGCAGACGTCAGGGAGATTAGCCAGGTGAGAACCTTTAACGCTAGCTTGCCACTCCACACTAGCTGTCTGAGGTAAGCTTATTACATTAGTGTAGCAAAATCACCCCTTGTCACTTGACTTGGGCACGTACATGGCAACCTTTTAGCTGTTTGTGTGCTCGATTTGCAGGCTTTACATGTCTGAAAGATCTAGTGTAATAAATTGCGCCCTACTGTCTGTGTCTCCCTGGTTCTTGCCTGATTAGGGATCTAGAGTAAGAACAATGTTGGTCCCCATATTCAATCTGAAACTAAACCAGAAGATCAACCCTCGTATGATGACTATTGGGAAATTTGACGGAGTCCACCCTTGCCTTACTGCAGCCACACAGGCTGGAAAGGTGAGAGAAACATAATGTGTACTTTTCTAGCATAAGTTTGATGAGTATAAGCAAATAGTAGATAACAGCAAGGTTGGTCTTTGAGCACCTGGCAATGGTTCCTTCCTTTATTCTCTCATATTTAACCACAAATTCCATGCTTGTTTCTGTGGCCTTGTCATAACATTGTTGAAAGAGAGTGACTATATTCTCAGTGTTTACTTACAGTTTTTCTTAATTACCCCACTCTGAAGCACTACTCTACATCTCTTTAAGACTTAGACTCATCACAACACCGATTCACTCTCCTTTATATAGTTCCTTTCTTAATTTAATAATTGCAGTACTGTACAGTTTATATCTTGTGCCCTCAACTCTCTACTTGTTCTCTTTAAAAGGTTTTTATCCACAACCCTCATACTCGTGCTCAGAGACCTGTAGCCCACCGACTGAGCCAGAGTGCCCAGGACTCTGACATCTCCCTGCTCAACATCAACCAGGCAGTCACTTGTCTGACGGCGGGAACGCTAGGACCAAATACCACTGGGGACACACTATTAGTGGGGTCCCAGACAAACCTGCTGGCCTATGATGTCCATGACAATGCTGATGTATTCTACAGAGAGGTGGGTGTAGCTGAGGAGAATAGGGGGAAGGCTAACGGGAGGGGAGGGAAATGTGTAAGACAAACATATCACAGTGAAAAATGTACGATATATTGCAGAATAGAGGTTAGAACAAATAGTTTTTGTAATATTTCTGCTTGTTCTATTTGTGACTTTTTGAGTGATTTTGCTAACAAAAAGACAACTGGAATGAAACATTACTTCCTTCCCATCTATTCTGCCTTGTAACTGTTTTACAATGAAAACATATATGAATGGTTCAAGCCTAGCTCTCAAAATGCTGATGTACAGTATTTCACGTTAAGAAACCTTGTTTGTTTGTTTTGTGTGCGGCTTTAGGTGACAGATGGGGCCAATGCTATTGTGTTGGGGAAACTCGGTGACATCTCTAACCCTCTTGCCATCATTGGAGGGAACTGCGCCTTACAAGGCTTTGACTATGAGGGCAATGACCACTTTTGGACAGTAAGAACTAAGACAGTATTTTAATATTAGAAAACTCTGTAGTTTGTAAGACACACAACTGTTAAGACAGTGATGCTTGATTAATCTATAGTACCAAAATCTCCAGTTCTTTTTAATGATATTGCTTCCATCAAAAGGTGCATGTAAAAGTAAAACATGTTTGATTGTTTTTTTTTCCCTCAAATTATTTCTGAAACTGAATGTTTAAAACCTTAGAGTTAGTCAGGAGTCCTGAACTTAAAACAAATCTAACTACATATGGGACAAGATCATTTGTGCAGTTTATTTCATTATGTTCATTATGCTTATTGATTTCACGAGTAAATTTGTGAATGCAGTTTTTGTCATTGCAGTTACAATTCTGTGAGTTGTCATCAAGGATATTGTTCTTAGGTAACTGGCGATAACGTCAGATCCCTGATGCTCTGTGATTTCACTGGTGATGGGAAAAATGAGGTGAGTCCAGGCTGGTTGGCAAATTAATGGTGCATTCACACATATGGATATAAGTAGTTGCCAGTATTTGACCTCTCATAAATCAGTAGTTCTGAAGGTACATTGTGTTGAGAATGTCATTTACAGTTGAAGTCAGAAGTTTACATACATGTAACCAACGACTGCATCTCGAAGGACCCCTCTGTCAAGCTCCTGAAGTTTGCAGATGACACAATGGTCATTGGTCTCATCCGAGACGGTGACGAGTCAGCCTATAGACAGGAGGTTGAACAGCTGGTCCTATGGTGTAGTTGCAGCTGAACATGCTCAAAATAGTAGAGATGACAGTGGACTTCAGGAAGAACCCCCCCCACCTTAACACCCCTCACCACACTTGGCAGCAGTAAAGTCCTACAAGTTCCTGAGCTCCACTATCTCCCAGGACCTGAAGTGGACGTCCAACATCAGGACCATCATCAAGAAGCCACAGCAGAGGATGTACTTCCTGCGCCAGCTCAGGAAGTTTGACCTGCCTCAGGAGCTGCTGATACAGTTCTACAGAGGAATCATTGAGTCTGTTCTCTGCACCTCCATCACTGTCTGGTTTGGCTCAGCAACCAAACAGGACAAGTACAGATTTCAGCAGACAGTCAGACCTGCAGAAAAGATCATCGGTGTGAACCTGCCCTGCATGGAGGACCTGTACACCTCACGGGTCAAAAGGAAGGCAGAGAGGATCACTGCAGACCCCTCACACCCTGGACATAATCTGTTTGATCTCCTCCCCTCTGGACGGCGTTACAGGTCACTGTGCACTAAGACAACCAGGCACAGGGACAGTTTCTTCCCCCGAGCCATCGCTCTGATGAACATGTAACCCACAACAGTATGACTATTGCACGCTGGTGAGCCTTCTTAACCAGGCTACGGGTGTTGGTGGTCAAGGACAGATGATATGAAATGTGGGTTCCCAGGAATTTGAAGCTGGAGACACGTTCAGCAACCATGCCGTTAATATGGATGGGGTTGTGTGTGCCTCCTTTCTCCCTCCTGTAGTCCATAATGAGCTCCTTGGTATTGTTAGTGTTAAGGAGCAGGTTATTGAGGTGCTGTACCTCCTCCCCTGTAGGCTGTCGAATCATTGTTGCTGATAAGGCCGATCACTGTAATGTTGTCTGCAAACTTGATGATGGTGTTGAAGCCATGCACAGGGCTCAGCACACAGTCCTGTGGTATGCTGGTGTTGAGGATAATGGTGGAGGAGCAGGTGTTATCTGACTTAACATGCTGAGGCCTGTTGGTCAGAAAGTCCAGAATCCAGTTGCAGAGGAAGGTGCTGATGCCCAGGTCGCCAAGTTTGTGGTTAATTTGGAGGGGATGACCATGTAAAATGCTGAGCTGATGACACGAGTAATTTTTCCAACAGTCATTTACAGATAGATTATAATTCACTATATCACAATTCCATTGGGTCAGATTTTTATATACACTCACTTGACTGTTACTTTAAACAGCTTGGAAAATTCCAGAAAATCTAAAGGTTTAGAAGCTTCTGATAGGCTAATTGACATCATTTGAGTCAATAGGAGGTGCAGCTGTGGATGTTTTTATATACACTCACTTGACTGTTACTTTAAACAGCTTGGAAAATTCCAGAAAATCTAAAGGTTTAGAAGCTTCTGATAGGCTAATTGACATCATTTGAGTCAATAGGAGGTGCAGCTGTGGATGTATTTTAAGGCCTACCTTCAAACTCAGGACCTCTTTGTTTGACATCATGGGAAAATCAAAAGAAATCAGCCAGACCTCAGAAAAAAACATCTGGTTGATCTCTGGGAGCAATTTCCAATAGCCTGAAGATAACCATGTTCATCTGTACAAACAATACCAATGAAGTATAAACACCAGAGGACAACACAGCCATCATACTGCTCAGGAAAGAAATGCATTGTCTCCTAGAGATGAACGTACTTTGGTTGAAAAAGTACAAATACATCCCAGAACAACAAAGGGCCTTGTGAAGACATTGGAGGAAATGGGTACCAAAGTATTTATATCCAGAGCAAAACGGGCACCAAAGTATTTATATCCAGAGCAAAACGAGTCCTGTATTAACTTACAAACCTGACTCAGTTCCACCAGTTCTGTCAGGAGGAATGGACTAAAATTCCAGCATTTTCAGCAATCCCATGGTGTTTATAATTCCAGTAAGAAGCTTGTGGAAGGCCTCCTGAAACATTTGACCCAAGTTAAACAATTTAAAGGCAATGCTACCAAATACTGAGTGTATGTAAACTTCTGACCCACTGGGGAATGTGAATGAAATAAATCTTGTTTCTACTACAGTATTATGCTGACATTTCACATTCTTAAAATATAGTGCTCGTAACTGACCTAAGACAGGGAATGTTTATAGGATTAAACTTGGTGAAAAACCAGCTAAGGTGTATGTAAACTTCTGACTTCAACTGTACATACTCTCCAACTCATCAGTCTGATGTATCTTCTGCTACCAGACACAACAACATTGATTTGTTTCCACATGCCATACTTATTGAATTGAGAAGATGGAAACTTTGGTCAGCTTTTCCTCAGTTTTGTGTGAAATTCCTTCATGTAGTTGGGTGGAGTAGTAACCAACTCTGTGCTTGAGTTTGACCTGGAATCAAGATGATGGTTGGCTCTAACGTGGCTGTTGCTCACACTCAATCAGAGGATAATTGCATGAAGTTGAGCTCTTCTTAACTTCCCGGGGCTGTGCACTTTGTGAATTGATCTCAGCTGGGGCTGCATTGTTACAAAGCCAGACCTCATTCATTATAAACGGCAACTGTAGCTATTCAAACTTTTCAAATCTGTACATGTGAACACTGTGTGGCTGCTAAAGCTGCATTCTGATTCCAGCTGGGGAGCTTCCTCTGCTCTCTTCTGGTTCCTTCTCTCTTACGGCTGTCTCCTTTATAAATGTTGTGTCAAAACTATTGGCATGAATTATATGAAAGAGTCATTTATATGAATAATTATGTAATTTGATGATGCTGAAAAACATTGCTGACTATTGTATGTTGTGTTTACAGCTCCTGGTAGGGTCTGAGGATTTTGACATAAGGGTATTCAGAGAGGATGAACTTGTGTCTGAGATGACTGAAAATGAGGTAAATGTACTACACAGTCTGTCCAAGCTTGTTGACTGTAAAGGATATTCAATTGAACTGACTGTGTTCTTTTTTTTTTCTATACATTTGAATTGTGGTTTGTACCGGGGACAGTAGCAGAGGAATAACTGCTATTATCATTGCACTGGTAGTAGTGATATGTTGTAGATGCTGCACTGGAGCAGAGCAGCTCTTTTTGATATGACAAGTTTTCCTTTTGTTCTTCTCCACACAGACAGTAACATCACTGTGCCACATGCACGGCAGCAGGTTTGGCTATGCCCTGGCTAATGGCACCGTAGGAGTCTATGATCGCACTGCCCGCTACTGGAGGATTAAGGTACCATAATCATTCAAACAGTTTGATCCTACATTAGCATGGTATTTGAACTGACAGACTCAAGATGCTTTAAAGATAGTGCACCTTTTATTAAGTGTGCCTGTTTCTTTCCTCTTTTAGTCAAAAAATCACGCAATGAGCATCCATGCCTTTGACCTGAATGCTGATGGTGTTGTGGAGCTCATCACTGGCTGGTCCAATGGAAAGGTCGGCACTCAGCCTAGCAGGCCTGGTGTCTACAAATGGCCTCTTACACTTCAGGAGTGTGATTTATCCTTAGATTTTTAGACACAGCAAGCCATGCATTTCTGTAGCTAGTAGTTCTTCTTGATCACATTCCCCATTTGTTGCAGATTGATGCTCGTAGTGACCACACAGGTGAGGTCATTTTCAAAGACAATTTATCCTCTTCTGTGGCTGGAGTAGTGGAGGGAGACTACAGGCTGGATGGACAGAAACAACTCATCTGCGCCTCCATAGAGGGAGAGGGTATGTTGTGTGGGTCAGTTTGTCTGTAACATATGTCAGTATTTGTTCTGAAAAGAACTTTGTTGTTACATACTGTGCTTTTCATATCATCCAAATTACACTACAAGTAAAATACTGCTACAACAATTAGGAGGAAAATGTATATTTCTAACCCAAATTGAAAATATACACCCTCAAACTAAAGCTTGGTTTATCATTTTGTGTTTAAATCTACACCAGAAGTATGACATAGGTAATGCGTAACCTCTTAGCCTACAGCATAGCCTGATATGCACCTCTCCAGAAATGTAACTGAATGTTGTGACAACAAGGACTGCGACAACTATGATAGGTTGTATTGCATTTCCTCATTTATGTCTCTCAGTGGCCTGAAAAGCAGGATAAATCCCTCCTCATTCTGCCTCAGTTGGTTCAGTGGTCATACAGACCATCTCCTCTGATGTTTTGTCTCATATCTGCATTGCAGTAATTTCAGTAAAAGTAACTGCAGTTAGTTTTAACTCCAACATGGTTCATTCAGTTTCAGGCTCTGCATAGATTTAATGCAGAACCATAAATCAAGCTTATTCCTAATGGCATGTGGCCTCTACAGTGTTTTGGTTTTAGTTACTGCCTTTTTGAAATATCTCCCAAGTGATACTGGTGCTGTCACTCGAGTACAATGGAGATGAACTGAAATTCACTCGTGTTACATTTACGATTTGCCAACCTTTCATCAAGGTCAAAATTTCCACTTCACCTCACTTCAAGTTACTGAATCTCAAAAACTAAAAACCCCATTCCATTGAGCCTGAGCTGCATTTTGAACTTCATTCAGACTGTAGTGTAGAAACACCCTAAACATGGTTTGGATGTTCTGATGCTCTGAGTTTGGAATAGGATGTTTTCAGTGTTCTGAATGTGTGCCCTGTAGTGCGTGGTTACCTGCCAGCCAGTAAGGACCTGAAAGGGAATCTAATGGACTCAAGTGCTGAACAGAACCTCATTAGAGAGCTCAGCCAACGCAGACAGAACCTGCTGCTGGAGCTACACAACTATGAAGAGCATGCCGAGGTACATAGGTTTATTGATATACATGAGATATTTCCTCATCGGAAGACATGGCGCCGGGATTGAGGAGATCCTCGAAGTATTCCTTCCACCGTCCGATAATATCCCCAGTTGAGGTCAACAGCTGCCCTCCCCCACTGTAAACAGTTTCGGCAGGGCACTGCTTCCCCCTCCTGAGGCGCCGGACGGTTTGCCAGAATCTCTTCGAGGCCGACCGATAGTCCTTCTCCATGGCCTCACCGTGGCTCTCAACCTTACTCCTTGAGAGAGGCTGGACTCTCTACTACTCTGTTAGTTATAATTAGACTAAACAGATTCGAGTGATTTTATACTGAACACTGTTTTGAACAGTTGCCAAGCTGCTTGTGATATTTATGCTTTTTAAAACATGATAATGCATCCTAAAGTTTTTTTATGTGTTTGCAAAATTTGATTAAATCCATTCATATACATTTGCAAGTGGTCCATTTCCCTTCTATCAGCTACTGGCAAACGGTATAGGAACAATAGACAGATGTCTGGCACAGTCTCCCGATATGCCATTTGCTTTGCTGGCTTTGGAGTTGAATATGTTTTGACGCCCTGTGTTTATTCATAGCACCCTGTCCTTTGCAAGTAGGCAGGGAAGAAGATGTGATGTGTGTTAAAATAACAAGATGTTGGCAGCAGTTTCCCCAAATAGAGAACTGTTTAACTGATAGTCAGCAAATCTGGCAACCCTCAAACCTAAAAAGTTTGATGTTTTTCCAGTTTCAGAGCGGTGCTGTTCTAAGTGCTGTGACTGGATAATACAACCAGCTTTAGACTCAGATGAGTATACTTTGATTAAAGCCAAGTGTAGGTGCTCGGCGTCTGCTGGGTGTAGTCACTATAAGTAAGAATAAGGGACTGAAGGTCTCAGAGTGCATGTTAGGGCTGTGAGAAATAAAAGAGCATAACTACTGTAATTCTCAGGGGTTACTTTACCATTAGGTAGAAGTAGGCTAACAAGAACACAGATATCCTCAAAAAAAGAATAGACATATTCTCTTTAGCCTATTAAATGCATTACAGGATATTTTATGTGACACTGCGGCAAGAGAAAAGAATAAATGGACCATATGACCCAGGTCACCCAGAAACATATTGATAATCCAGCAGCTGCATGGATGTGACCAGCGTGTGTCTCTGTCCGTGGTGCTGACCTGTCCACCTGGT